TATGTACCACAGCTTTTTTGTCCATTCGTCTACTGATGGACACTTGTCTTGCCCTCTTTTAAGCCTTCCAAGCACAATGCTTGTACTTCTCCTATTACTTTCAATTTAATGCAAAATAGCTTTCTTATTCCTTTTACCCTCACTAGACTGTCTTCCTTGAGACAAAAGTTTTAGCTCACTGTTAGATCTTCTGCAGAGTAACTAGTACTGAGTTATGAGTATTTACTAAATTGAATCAAGAACAGTACTTTCTACCTATCAAAATCTATCAAGGCTCAGTTCAATTTTCATTTTCTCTGAGAATCCTTCTCTTTTTCTTTCTCTCATTTATTCCTTCCTTCAAATAGTTATTGAGTACCTATTATATGTTAGTCCTTGTGCTAGATACATGAATATTTTATAACATTCTTGTCAAAGTCCATCAACCAAAAAATAAAAGTAATATATACATACAATAGAATATTATTCAGCCTTAAAAGAAAGTCTGACATATCTATAAGGTATGTAAAAGTTAAAGACATTATTCTACATTAAATAAGTCAGACACAAGAGAATAAATATTGTATGACTCTATTTATATTCAGTACCTAAAACAATCAAATTCAGAAACAGAAAGTAGAACAATGGTTACCAGAGGCTGGGAAAAGGACAATGGGGAGAATTGTAATATAACACTTAGCACATTGTATTAAATATAATATAAATGTGCTTCTCCTATTCCACCATTAAACACTTAGATTATAAACTCTTAAGGATAAAACCATGTCTTATTCATGTTCATAATCATGGCCCTAGAACAATATCCAGCAGGAAGATAATCTTCTAAACAATACAATGGGCTGCCTCAAAAGGATTATGCTAGCTCCCTATGACTGAAAGATCACATGGAAGTTCAGTAATGACCCTTTCCGAAAATGTGATGCAGAGAAGTCCTGTATCTGGAGAAACCCTGATGAACCAGAGAATATTAAAGATCCCTTCTAGCCCTGGCCGGTTTGGCTCAGCAGTTAAAGCATCGGCCTGCGGTCTGGAGAGACCCAGGATTTGGTTCCCGCTAAGGGCACATATCTCGGTTGCAGTTTGTCCCCAGCCCTGGTTGGTCATGCAGGCGGCAACCACTTAATGTGTCCCTTTCACGTCGATGTTTCTCTCTCTCTCTCTCCCTCTCTCTCTCTCTCTCTCTTCCTCTCTCTCCCTCCCACTCTACCTGAACAAAAAATGGAAAAATGTCCTCAGGTGAGGATAAAAAAATAAATAAACTTTAAAAAAAAAAAAAGATCCCTTCTAGCCTGGCTGATGTGTTCAGTGGTTGGGCATTGACCCATGCACCAAGAGGTCGCTGGTTTGATTCCTGGTCAGGGTACATGCCCAGGTTGTGGGCCTGAACCCCAGTGGGGGGCATGCAAGAGGCGGCCAAACAACATTCTCTCTCATTGATGTTTCTCTCTCTCTCTCTCTCTCTCTCTCTCTCTCTCTCTCTCCCTCTCCCTTCGTCTCTCTCTAAAAATCAATAAAAAGAAAAAAAATTTTTTTTAAATGATCCCTTCTAGTTGTAGGTCTCTAACATAAGAATTCTCACAGTGGCCCTAGACTATGGGTCAGTAAGGGGGACCCCTCACTGGCCTTTGTTCCTGAAGAGCACTGCAACTTCAGATAAGTTATATAATATCTGCAGGTTCTTTCCCTCCTCTTGAACATATAAAAATTATTGCTTTTAATTAGTTGCAATAGGAATCTAGCCATTGTAAAATAGCATCTTAGTGTAGGATTAAAACCACTTTCCAGATATATAAGAACATCATTCATTTAATAACTATCTATTAGGAATCTATTATCTAATGCCTATCCATTATCACATACTAATCTAGATGCTGGGGACATAGCAATGATTAAACAAAGTCCTTAATCCTGGAGAAAAATTTTGTGGGGTGATATACACAAGATGAGAAAAAAGATGAAAACAGAGAGCAACCCCACACTGAGAAGTAAATTGAGGCAATATACATCCTTGGTTGGCTACTTTGGATTGAGTGATTAGAAAAGAACTCAAGAGGTGGCATAGAGAGAGAGACCTGATGACAAAAAGGAACCAACTATGCCCTGGCCGGTTCAGCTCAGTAGTTAGAACGTCGGCCTGCAGACCAGAAAGTTGCGAGTTCGATTCCAGTCAAGGGTACGTACCTTTGCTGCAGTTCGGTCCCTGGCTCTGGTCAGGGTTGTGTGGGAGGTAGCTAGTTGATGTGTCTCTCTCTAAACATCGATGTTTCTCTCTCTTTCTCCCTCCCTCCCACTCTATCTGAAGATAAATGGAAGAAATATCCTCATGTGAGGATTAAAAAAAAAGTAAAACTTGAAGAGAAACAGTTTGGGTAGGGGGAGCTGGGTTTGAAATAAAAACTTCTGCATTGACCAGATTAAAAGAAAAAATATCCTCAAGTGAGAATTAACAAAATAAATAAGTAAATAAACAAACAAACAAATAAATAATAAATAAAAGCCATGGGACAGGACAAGCTTCTCCAAGGGAAAATGAATACAAGGCAGAGAAGGCCCAAGTCTGAATCTGGAAACACTTGACATTTAGATATTGAGCAAAGGAGTGGCCTAGAATTAGGGAGAAAATCAGAAGAGCATATATCACAACAGCCAAGACAATACACTGTTTCTAGGAAGAAATGTCTATGACTAATGCTGCTAAGAGGAAAGGTAAGAAGAGAGAAGTGTTTAGTAGTTCCTGTAGAGTGGTAAGGCAAAACCTGACTAGCGTGGGAAATAATTGTGTTGAATCAATATAAAATACTGATTATTACGCAGCACAACTGAAGTCCTAAGGTATTACTTCTTAATGTCTTTATCAGAAACTAATATAGTGACTCCAAATTTCTAGCATAAAATAGGAGATTATTTTTCTTAAAGATACTAGTATGGACACTGGCCGGTTTTGCTCAGTGGTTAGAGCATCACCCCACAGACCAGAGAGTCCTGGGTTCGGTTTCCACTAAGGGCACATACCTCGGCTGCATTTCGTCCCTGGCCCCTGTTGGGGTCATGTGGGTGGCAACCACTCAATGTATCTCTCTCACATCGATGTTTCTCTCTCTCTTCCTCCCGCTCTATCTGAAGATAAATACAAAAGTTTCCTCAGGTGAGAATAAAAAAAAAGAAAGATACTAGGATGGGCCCTGGCCAGTTTGGCTCAACAGTTAGAGCGTCGGCCTAAGACCAATGAGTCTCGGTTCAATTCCAGTCAAGGGCACACACCTAAGTTGCAGTTCATCCCCAGCTCTGGTCAGGTCGTGCAGGAGGCAACCAGTCGCTGTGTCTCCCTCCTGATGTTTCTCTCTCTCCCGCTCTCTCTTTTTCCCTCCATCCCACTCTATCTGAAGATAAATAGAGAAATATACTCAGGTGAGGATTTAAAAGAAAAAAAAAGATACAAGGATGGGAAGGCAGCAAAGAGCCAGATAAATCTGGATTTGAATCCATCTTCTGCCACTTACTAGCTATGTGTCTTTAGGCAAGTTTCTTAACCAGGTTAAGCTTTGGTTGCCTCACCTATAAAATGGAAATATTAATACCTACACCTCATAAGGTTATTGTGAAAAATAAATAAGATATTACATGTAAAATGCTTAGTACAGGAAGTTGTTATTGTTCTTTCCTTTAGATAGTCCCATTATTTAAAAAAAAAATCACAAGCCCAGCCAGTGTGGCTCAGTGGATTGAACACTGATTGTCCCATGCACCAGTTCAATTCCTGGTTAGTGCACATGCCCAGGTTGCAGGTTCAATCCCTGGTATGGGGAAAATAGAGGAGGCAGCCAACTGATGTTTCTTTTGTTTTGTTTTGTTTTGTTTTTATCCTCACCCAAGGACATTTTTGCATTTATCTTCAGACAGAGTAGGAAGGAAAGGGGGCGGGGGACATCGATGTGAGAGACACACATCAAGTGGTTGCCACCTACACAACCCCAACTGGGGCTGGGGACGAATTGCAACCGAGGTATGTGCCCTTACCGAGAACTGAACCCAGGACTCTCTGGTCCATGGGCCAACGCTCTAACCACTGAGAAAAACTGGCCAGGGCGTCTTTTTCATCAATGTTTCTATCTCTCTTTCCCTCTCCCTTCCTTTCTCTCTCAAATCAATAAAAAACATTTTTTTTAAAAAATCACAAGACTTTATTGTAATTAGGCTATTTTAATTAAAATTAAATGTGGGAGCCCTGGCCGGTTTGGCTCAGCGGTTGGAGCGTCCGCCTGCGGTCCGGAGAGACCCGGGTTCGGTTCCCGCTAAGGGCATGTACCTCGGTTGCAGTTTGCCCCCGGCCCTGGTTGGTCATGCGGGTGGCGGCCACTCAATGTGTCCCTTTCACATCGATGTTTCCCTCCCACTCTGTCTGTACAAAAAATGGAAAAATGTCCTCAGGTGAGGATAAAAAAAAAAAAAAAAAAAAATTTAAATGTGGGAATATCTAAAGCAGTTTTCCTAATCTTCTAAAATATATGTCCCATCTTTGTAAATAATAAAAAGTGATACATCCACCATTTATGAGATTCTAATATGCCCACATGGATGGCATGATTCAGATGGAGTTGCTTTATCTTCTACATGTCATCATCAGCCTAAATAAGGTTGAGTTTTAACTCTGAAGTCTGCATTAAGGAAAATAATAGGGTTATTAGAGGGTTAACAGGGTTAACATATCATGAACAACCTTTGGCTGTACACATGACTTCTACTTCACTCATAAGGTCAACAGTATATATCTTATTTCCTTACATTTAAGCTTTTTCACTTTATTGCTACATAAAAATAAAAACAGTTGTCATTTTTATAAGACATTTAAATATTTAATGTATAGAAAAAGGTTAGCCAACCAAAAATTATGTATCTATATGAAAAATGTGTATGTAAAGATTTAAACAAAATACAGAAATCTTTGTATACCAGAAATAAATAATGCTAGAACACTAACTAAAATGCTGAAAAATACTCACCTCAAAGTCAAAGTATAATCTCCCTGCATTTTTGTTGAGGCATCTCTGACCAAGAAGGTACCGTCTGGCATGTCCCGTAATTTGTCATTTACCTCCTCCCTAAAGAATTATAAGAAAATGAAAAGAAAAAAGTGTCATTTGTTCTCTTCAAATATTATTACTAAGGCTAGTTGGGAGGAGGGTATGTCTAAGGTTATAGAATCATGGAGCCTTCAGAGATCACTTAGTTCCTCCCCCTAGGTATGTTCATTTTGTTTTGATTTTTGGTGTTACACAATCTAAGAAAGGGCTGTTTGCTTCTTAAACCTTTCCAGATTACAATTGTCTATAGGGGACAGTGTTTCCATTAAGCCTTTAGGGATTCCTTAGGCAGGTCTGAACTTGCAGAGTTTCAGGAAAAACCAGCAGCTGTTTAGAAAGAAGGTTATATTTAAACAATAGTGGCGGCTGTGTCTGATCAGAGGGAGGAAAATTCACTAAATTCACAATCTTTCAATATAATATCCTCCAATATGAATTTATACTGATAATAAATACCTCTGCAGAGCTGGTATGGGACTTTAAGGAACAACACTAGAACACTCAAAGGAAAAGACCTTTGAATTAAAGGACCACAGGGTCTTAAAATATAAATGGTATTTAAGCCCTGGCTGGTTTGGGTCAGCGGTAGAGCATCGGTCTGCGATCCAGAGACACCCGGGTTCGGTTCCCGCTAAGGGCATGTACCTCGGTTGCAGTTTGTCCCCAGCCCTGGTTGGGTCGTGCAGGTGGCAGCCATTCCATGTGTCCCTTTCACGGTGATGTTTCTCTCTCTCTCTCTCTCTCCCTCCCCACTCTATCTGAACAAAAATGGAAAAATGTTCTCAGGTGAGGATAAAAAATAAATAAATAAACGGTATTTAAATATAGTAGATCCTTTTATTGTACAATGCTAAAATAAAATTTTTCTAATAATTTTAATGTAAACTATATTGTCTTCCTCAAAAAATTAAATATAGAATTACCATATGACCCAGAAATGAAAGCAGGGACTTGAACATTTTATACACCAATGTTCATAGCAGCATTACCCACTAGCCAAAAGCTGGAAACAATCCAAATGTTTACCAAAGCCAAATGCCAGATGAATAAGTAAATATATATTAAATGAAATATTGTTCAGCTTTAAAAAGAAAATTCTGACACATGCTACAACATGGATGAACCTTGGAGACATTGTGCTAAATAAAGTAAGCCAGTCACAAAAAGATACATATTGTATAATTCCACTTATATAAGGTTATCTAGTGTATTCAAATTCATAGAAACAAAAGTAAGTTGGTGGTTGCCAGGGAGAGGCTGAGGAGAATAGGAGGAAAGGGGAGTTGGCATATTGTTAATGGGTACAAAGTTTCACTTTGGGAAGATGAAATAGTTCCAGAGATGGATGGTGGTGATGGTTGAACAATAATGTAAATGTACTTTATGCCATTGAATTGTACATTTAAAGACAGTTAAAATGATAAGAAAAAGAAGAAATAAATAAGTGCCACTATGGTAATGGGAAAGAATGGACAAGAGAAAGAGAAGGACAAGCATATTGAGGAATACATTATCATCTTGAAGCCTAAGTTGGCAGAAATGTGTAGTACTTTTTAAAAACAAGGAAATACAATATTCAAATTAAGATATATATATATATGTATATATAGTGTGTGTGTGTGTGTGTGTGTGTATTTCTTCTCTAGATTCAAAATTTTCCCAACCCACATTTTACCCAAAGAGAAGTCTGTCCAAGAGTCCTATTTCCCGAAATGAAGTGTGTGAAGAGTGCATCAAAATTATTTGGGGAACCCTGATGGTATGGCTCAGTGGCTGAGCATCAACCCATGTACCAAGAGGTCCCTGGTTTGATTCCGGTCAGGGTACATGCCCAGGTTGCAGGCTCGATCCCCGAAGGGGGTGTGCAAGAGGCAGCCAATCAATGTTTCTCTCTCATTGATGTTTCTCTCCCTTCCTCTCTCTCTCAAAATCAATGAAAACATTTTTTAAAAATTTTAATCACTTAGAGGGGTTGTTAAATGCAGATTCTTGGGCTCCACCCAATTGCATATGTAAAGATTGTGGAATCTTTGCCTTAGAGACAAAAGGTAAGAAAAATTAAGTACCTCTAAGAATCTTTTATCCTAAAACATGTATAATTATCTTAAGAGTATGTATCATTTATTCGGAAATCTATCCCCAATACAGTATTAAAAGTAAAATCATATCCATAATTTAAAGATTTTCTTGTCATTTTTTTTTGTGTGGGAAGAAAAGCATTTAGAAATTTTTAAAATGTCCTCACACTGTCTCTTAAATGGTGATCTTTAAATGACAACTAATGGAATGATAACATTATTTTAACTACTAATTCTCAAAGATGATTTTTAAAAACTGCATTCAAGTATAGTAACATTCTAGTTACCTTGAAATATCCCCCCAGTACCATTCTGCATCCTGAAGAGAAAGAGAACTGTCCTTCATTCCATTCGTAACAGCTGAAGTCATTGGCTTAGGTGGCTTTGGTGGAAGCGCTAGAAGAAAACGAATAGATGTAAATTATAATTTGTTTTCTAACTTCCTCAGTCAGGAACTGCTCATTACAATGTACACTGAGATTCAAATAATTATGAATCAAATTATGTTATTTTACATTAAATTTCTTTTTTCTAAAATGTTTTTATTCATTTTAAAGAGAGGGAGGGTGGGAGGAAGAGCTAGAAACACTGATGTGAGAGAAAAACATCAATCGGCTGCCTCTTGCACGCCCTCTACTGGGGATTGAGCCTGTAACCTGGGCATATGCCCTGACCAGGAATCAAAACGGGACCTCTCAGTCCATGGGATGATGCTCAATCCACTGAGCCATACCAGCTGGGCACCCCTACCTATTTTTAACCACCACACGAATATGGGACCAGCCTGTTCCATGCCTCCACACCTCCCACCAGTCTCAATGTGGCTTCTTCTTTATATGCTAGTTATAGGATTTCTGCTAGTCCAGCTCAGGTGTTCTGAATGATGACTGTCCTGTAATTTTGATGTGGTTGTGGTAGAATGTAAGTACCACATTTATAATGTTGCCATCTTTTTTTTTTTTTTTTAATCCTCACCAGAGGACATTTTTCCATTTTTTACTCAGAGCGGGAAGGAGAGAGAGGAAGAGAGAGAAACATTGATGTGAAAGGGACACATCGAGTGGCCGCCACCCACACGACCCAACCAGGGCTGGGGACAAACTGCAACCAAGGTACATGCCCTTAGCGGGAACCGAACCTGGGTCTCTGTGGACCACAGGCTGACGCTCTAACCGCTGAGCCAAACCGGCCAGGGCTAATGTTGCCATCTTAACCAAAACTTCTTTTCCCTTCTTATAAGGTACTAACTTTTAATTTTGAACATATGTCCAAAAAAAACGTAATTGCTTCTCAAAAGACAATGTGGCTCCCCTTCACAAATAATTCATTCCAAAAGTCATTAAGTGAGGCTGGTCATAATGGCCAAGAGTTGGTATCAGAGTCGGAAGCAGCTGAGGGAGGACTATGTCCATATAGCAGGGCAGAAACACAGCACAAGATCTCAGAGCTTAAGCAGGGTGAGGAGAACCTCGCGGGGGCATCATGGCATGGGATGATAAAGTTGAGTAAAGTAAGAAGGGCAGTGGCATGGGGCCCAGGTGGCACAGTATTGGAGACCCAGTCTTTGAAGGTAGGCATCCCAATGCAGTGGGGCAAAGCCAAATAAGGGTAAAAGAGTTTATACTTGGGCTGGGGATGGGAGGTGGCAGGGGGAATGCAACAATACCTATAAGAGATTGGGTACATACAAAGAAATGGATCAAATAAGTAAAACCATTAAAGATAATAGAAGCCAGGTTTCTCATAGTCTAAAAAGAAAGTTACAAATACATAAAGGTAAAAAAATAGAATGAACTCTCTAGTTTGGACCGGAACTACAGCTATTGATGTGAACTCATGGAATTTGATAGACAAACAGACAGATGTACAAACAGACAGATGTATTTATATGGAATATAACTATTCCATAGCTCTCTGTTGAAAAGTTTGGAGATTGGCAATACCCCCAATAGCATACCTAGCAGTCAGATCTTTTTGTTTTGTTTTGTTTTATCCTCACCCGAGGACATTTTTCCATTTTTTGTTCAGATAGAGTGGGAGGGAGAAAGAGGAAGAGTGAGAGAGAGAAACATCGACGTGAAAGGTACACATCGAGTGGCCGGGGACAAAGTGCAACTGAGGTACGTGCCCTTAGCAGGAACCAAACCCGGGTCTCTCTGGACCGCAGGCCGATGCTCTAACTGCTGAGCCAAACTGGCCAGATCTAGCACTCAGATCTTGTTTTCTAATGTCATTCTCTACTAAAAGGAGCCAGGGCTATAGTAGAGCCAAGTACCAAATAAACCTGGATCATCATGCCAAAAAGTAAGCAACTGTTCAAAGAATGAGGGGCTATGACAAAGGAATAAAGAGTCCAGTTGGAAGGGTACCCACTACCAAATCTAGAACAACTGGAGCATCAATAAAAATAATAATAAGTGAATATAAGCCATTAAAAAAGAAGAGGAATCTATGTGCCCATGCAGAAATAAATGAATGAATAAAATTAAAAGATTAATGATTAATAATATAATCTCAGAGGGCCTTCTCATAAAATACTTAGTAAAATATTAAAAAGACTAATATGACAGTGGAGATGCCTGACAACCACCACCTTAATCAAGTAATCAAGGTTAATAACCACCAGTAATGATGAAATCGTGGGCCCCCAACAGAATGCACTGAGAAAGACACAACCTCACTCCAGTGATATTCTTGCCAAATAAGCATAAACTAAATCTAATCATGAGGAAACGTGAGACAAATCACAACTGAAAGACATTCTACAAAATAACTGGCCTGTAATCTTCCAAAATGTCAAGGTTGTAAAAGTCAAGAAAGACTGAGGAACTGTTTCAGATTGAAAAATACTAGAGATTCATGACAATTAAACGCAATGTGCAACTCTAGACTGAATTCTTGTTTTAAAGGACATTACTGGTACAATACACAAAACCTGAATCCAAGAATGAAATTATAGTAATGCATCAATGTCAATGTTCTGATTTCGATGGTTGTATTGTGGTTATGTAGGAGCATGTTCTTGTAGAAATACAAACGTGGTCATCATGTTGGCAACTTACTCTCACTGGTTCAAGAAATTCAAGTTATTTTTACTGTACTTGCAATGTTTCTATAAGTTGGAGACTGTTTCAAAAAAAATTTTTAATTAACAGAAAGTTAGAGATAATATTGAGGGAAAACGGGAACAATGTGAATAACATTCTTCAAAACAGAATCTCTTTACTGTGAAATAATTTTCAAACAGGGTGTCAAGACAACTCAATTGTGCAAAAGTAATCTTTTTAACAAATGATTCTGGCACAACTAAATATCCACATGCAAAAGAAGAAAAAAAAAGTAATTGACCTCTATCTCACAATGTATGCAAAAATTAACTAAAAATGCATCAAAGACCTAATTGTAAGAGCTAAAATTATAAGACTTTTATTTTTTTCTTTTGTTTTTTAAAATATTTCTTCTTTATTGATTTGAGAGCGAGAGGAAGGGAGAGGGAGAGAGTTAGAAACACCAGTGAAAGAAAAACATCAACTGGATGCCTCCTGCATGCCCCCCAATGGGGATCAGGCCCACAACCTGGGCATGTGCCCTAACCAGGAATCAAACCGCGACCTCTTGGTGCATGGGTCGACACTCAGTCAGCCACACTGGCCAGGCTGTTTTGTTTTTTTAAATAGGATTTTGTTGATTGTTTAGAGAGAGAGAAATGGGGAGGGAGAGATAGAAACATCAATGTGAGAGAGATACATCTATGGGCTGTCTCCTGCATGCCCCGTACTGGGGAGCAAGCCCACAACCTAGACATGTGCCCTGACTGGGAATCAAACCAGAATTTCTCAGTCCGTGGGGTGACACTCAATCCACTGAGCCACACTGACCAGGCAATTATAAAACTTTTAGAAGAAAACAAGCTTAAATTTTAATGACCTTGGATTAGGCAACAGTTTCTTGGATTTCATCAAATTAAAAAATTTTTTATGCTTTAAAGGACACCATCAAAAAAGTGAAAACAGCCTGGCCGGTGTGGCTCAGTAGATATGAGTGTCATCCCATGGACTAAGAGGTCCTGGTTCAATTGCCAGTCAGGGCACATGCCTGGCTGGGTTCAGGGCTCAGACCCTAGTGGGGGGGCATGCAGGAGACAACAATCAATGTTTCTCACATCGATGTTTCTATCTCTCTTTATTATTTTTTTTTAATCCTCACCCAAGGACATTTTTCCATTTTTTGTTCAGATAGAGTGGGAGGGAGAGAGAGGATGAGAGAGAGAGAGAGAGAGAGAGAGAGAGAGAGAGAGAGAGAAACATCGATGTGAAAGGGACACATCAAGTGGCTGCCACCCACACGACCAACCAGGGCCGGGGACAAACTGCAACCGAGGTACATGCCCTTAGCGGGAACTGAACCCGGGTCTCTCTAGACCGCAGGCCGACGCTCTAACCACTGAGCCAAACCGGCCAGGGCTCTATCTCTCTTTTAAAAAAAAATCAGTAAGTATTTTTAAGTGAAAAAGATAACCACAGAATGGAAGAAAATCTTTGTAAATCATATATGTGATTTTAAAATTTTGTATTTAGAATATATATTAAAAAAATCTTGGCCCTGGCCGGTTTGGCTCAGCGGTAGAGCTCCGGCCTGCGGTCCAGAGACACCTAGGTTCGATTCCCGCTAAGGGCATGTACCTCAGTTGCAGTTTGTCCCCAGCCCTGGTTTGGTCGTGCGGGTGGCAACCACTCGATGTGTTCCTTTCAGATTGATGTTTCTCTCTCTCTCTCCCCCTCCCCACTCTATCTGAACAACAACAAAAAAACTCTTGTAACTTAATGATAAAAAGACAAATAATCCAATTAAAATGGGCAAAGGATCTGAAGAGACATTTCTCCAAAGAAGATATACAAATGTCCAAGAAGCCCTGGCCAGTTTGGCTCAGCGGTTACAGCGTCGGCCTGCGGTCCAGAGAGACCCGGGTTCGGTTCCCGCTAAGGGCACGTACTTCGGTTGCAGTTTGTCCCCGGCCCTGGTTGGTCGTGCGGGTGGCAGCCACTCGATGTGTCCCTTCACGTCAATGTTTCTCACCTCTCTCCCTCCCACTCTATCTGTACAAAAAATGGAAAAATATCCTCGGGTGAGGATTAAAAAAAAAAAACAAATGTCCAACAAGGATATAAAGAGACTCAATCTCATTAGCTATCACGGAAATGAAAATCAAAACCACAGTGAGCCCTGGCCAGTTTGGCTCAGCGGTTAGAGCGTCGGCCTGCAGTCCAGAGAGGCCCGGGTTCGGTTCCCGTTGGGGGCATGTACCTCAGTTGCAGTTTGTCCCCAGCCCTGGTTGGGTCATGTGGGTGGCAGCCACTCGATATGTACCTTTCACATTGATGTTTCTCTCTCTCTCT